CTAAAATGCTTTCCAGTTGAGTTTTGCACTAGCTTCACCTGCTTGCAACGCAAAAAGAACCTTCTATGGCTTTAGCCGAGCCGTTGCTGAAGGCAGTCGTTGCGCGGCAACGATCCTTGCGACATCCGCCGAAGACCCGTTAATTGGAAGGGGTCATGGTGACAGTTGCTACCACACCCAGAAAGGGAGCACAAAATGCCGGTGTTGCAACCATTGGGTGACTCCGAGGGGCAAATGAATAGTTAATCGCTTGCTTTTGATCACAGCGGAGTTGACTAATTTCACCCGTATGATCAAAGTCAAGAACTGGTCCTGCCGTATTTGGCGGTATGAACCAGCAAAGAAGACTGTAAAGATCTGTAAAGACTGTATCGACAAAGAATCCGAAAAGTTGATAAGGCCAGGAGCCCCTAGTAGCGTCCTTGCTCCTAGTAGCGATGCCAGGAGCCCCTAGTAGTTTCTTGTTCCTAGTAGCTAATTTATTGATATAAATGTGCTAAAGAGCATTCATCCGGCAGTGTTTGTTTCTTTTTCGGAAAACGGAAAGATGTATCTACGCAAGCAAGGATTGCAATGAACAACAGAAAGTCCAAATATTGCACTCCAGGGCTTGCAAAACAGGCTACAAGTCGTGATGCTTTGGGAAAGCAACTGGCTTTTGTTGTACAAACACTGATGGCCTCGCAGGTACGTATTTATTGGCTCTCTGTGTAATGGGAACATGGATCCCCCCTGCTCCTTAGCTCCCTCCTGGGTACCACTTATTAGTTTATTGAGCCCATGCCCACTCCAGCCCGCAAGTGACTATTTCAGCTGACGGCACGATGGCTTGCCTCGTTGCCCCCTTACTTCAGGAGGAAGACAGTGTTCTTCTTCTTGCCGGGTCGAATTCTGTCCATTTCGCGTGACCAGTGTGGGACGGTCAATAATCGCCCTCTCTAAAATTTATAGCATTTGAAACGGCTTTGGAGGGAGGAAATTCAACGGTATCAAGTGAAACTAATGACTTGCAGGAATCTACGGAGAAGGGTTTTCAATTTAAAACGTCCAGAAGAAAAACCCTTGTCCTAGTGGTGTAGAGCAGTGGTGAAAGGTGGTTCAACATCTGCCCAAGCAGCACGTGTATATTCATGTGTTCAATCATGGTAGTAGCCCGGAAGAAGAAACAAACGTGCAGCTTTGCTGCAGGGAGTTTCCCAACCCCTTTCTGGTAAAGAATATGCCATACACTTGTCCATCTGATTTCCCAGAAAATCCTGCTTTCCTCTCGCAAGGCGGAGCACGCGGATGCCGATGCCTCCCCCTATTGGGCGGACGAAGGTGAAAAATGAGCCAAGGGATGAGAGATGAGGGTCCAGACTGCGCATTGGCTGTTTTTGCCAGGGTTGGTATACATGCGTTGTTCTGTTCTTTTTGTCTTTTTTAGCCCGCTCCCCCCCATCGCTACTAGCTACGAAGTACGCTACTACCTAGGACGGAGTACAGCTCACGCTAATCATTTGGTTCCTAGAGTTTTTGGGAAACTTAACTTTCGGAGATGTATAACTGCATGTCCAGATTCCCCTGAAAGTTTTGTTCAAAATCAGCAGCTCGGCTCGAAAGACCGTTCGCTGCTCCTTCAATGATATAGTCTTAGGAATTCCCCTTTGCAGCAAGCGTGGTACAAACCGAAGATCCAAAGCGCCCTATCCGGAGATGAGGAGGAAACTCAGAGGTACAACTTGCAAAGTAGAAGAGAAGCTGTAGCTGTAGCGTCCAACCTACTAGCGATGGCCTCCAACCTAATAGCGCGTGGGACGACTGAAGATCAAAGGCGCCCTATGCCTCCAGACATAAGGGTACTGTTAGTCGGAAAATTGGCCACCGTGATCGAGAAGGATACTATGGTGGAAGGGAGAGCCAGTGCAGTTGCAACGACAATTCAACTGGTTTTTGTTTCTACTAGCTTCTTGTTACTACTAGTAAGGCACTTGTTACTAGAAGCGATGC